AATAAGGGGATTTTTTATTAATTTTTAATATTTATGTATATATATATATATATATATATATATATATATATATATATATATATATATATATATATAACAGCCTGTAAAAGTGATTTGCAATTTCAAAAAACTGTTACAGTAACAAAGACATTCTTATATATATTTTGCATGACCAGACTTTTGGCTTTTTTCTGCTGGTATTTTTACAATTTACTTTTTGGTGAGGAGCTCCAAGTCTTTAAGATTGGGGGCCTCCCTGCCATCACCCTAATCTGTACCTGTTGGATTTATATCAAGAATCTGGACCTAAAATATTACTCCTCTTATTGAGAATAAATGTGATTACCCGAATCTGTCAGGAATATAAGAGATTAGGTTTAACTGAAATACAATACCGACATACTTATTTTAAATATATCTTTAGTTTAGCTATACATTTTCATAATATGTTTTATATAGTGAAACACATGATTTTCTCTAGCCCTCATATGTGGGACATTCCTGACATGTACGTAGTTCACCCACTCCTTTGGTTAAGTTCAGCAGTCAAGATTTTCTTGCATGAAAATCATACTGATAATTGCCATGACAACCAGGGTAAGATACCTGATACGGTTGTTAAGATAGTTATAATTTCCAAATCTTACGAATATAATAGAAACAAGCACATTTGAATGCTTAAATTTGTTTTCAAGACATTTGACACACATCTGTTTTATTATTAAAGATTTTTTTGTAGACAAAAGGTGTGTGTGTGTGTGAAATTTATGAAATAACTGCACTTAAGCCTAAAGGTCATGTCAGGAAGTGTCTCACATAGTGACAGGGATGTTATTATTATTATTAGTAATAATAATAATAATAATAATAATAATAATAATAATAATAATAATAATAATAATATGTATTATACATATATAGTATATCATATTTATCTATTATAATTAATTTGTTGGTTTTTCAGGGTATGTTGACTCCACGTCAGCATCCTGCAGAAAAAAATTAAAAAAACATTTAGTTAGAAACAACAGCGAAACAAGAACCTTTTAACATTAAAACGTTAATATAAAGATTTCTTGACTTACTGGTGTTGCAGAGGGTCTGCTGACTGGGTCCTGGTTGGAGCTAAGCTCGTTCACAAAAGCCACGTCTTCGGAAAACCTGTTGAAATCTCCATTGGCAGTTCTGGAGATAAACACAAAATGCAACTGAGATTTGAGATGCAGCAAAAATAACAGCAACATGTGGTATTCGGCATTTTTCTAAGCAGCGATAAGAAGTTCAAAAGTTTAAACTAGTCTGCGTGATACTGGCAGGGTGGAGAGAAGCACTTAAATTTCCCTCTTGGAATCTTGAGGAGCAGCAGGGCCAAATCAAGAAGAGAAACATGTGTGGCAGACTAAAAACTGGCACATGTCCTAGGTTTCTCTTTGGTCACACATTTGAAGGTGCGACGACACGGCGAGTGGCAGCCTCACCGCTGATCTGGCAGCAGCGGTTGTTCTTCAGCGCGATGATGAGCAGCAGCCCCTCCGCCATGCAGCTCCCTGATCACGGCGAGGTGGTCGGCGATTATCATTTATCAGGCAGAAACAGAAACACAACAAGGTGTGAGAACAACAGGTCACTTTGTTTGACCACATCAAAAACGTTTCAGATTTGTTCATCATGGTCGACTATTTTATCTTGTTTTGCTTTTCATTCTGTTTCACACTCTGTTATTTTTTTTTTCCCTCTCACACACAGCTAAACTTATTCCTTTGTGGCTCACTTGCGTTTCTCTGACTGTCGCACTCTGAGCCGCAGTGAAATAATAGTTGGACATATTTACATTTTCCAGCATTTATAGATGTTAACGGTGTCTGTTCACTTAAAACATACCTCTTCTTTCCTCTTCCTTTAGTTCCGTTTATTCCTCCTGGCTCCTCGTTCATGTTCCTACAGCTGACACACACAGTAGTTATTTTCAGGTCAGGCTGTCGAGCTATAAATAAAGGAATCAATAATAAACACATTATGGTATTTAAAGCGCACCCGTTCATTGGGTTGTGGTCGGATGGAGTGGTGGTGTCGGGAGATCCCTTGTTTACACTACAATACAGATATTAAACAGAATTTAGCAATGCGTCAAAGGCTCGTTCAGAAGCTGTGCAGGTAAAGCGACACATCAGTTGAAACCAGATTGCAAATGCGACTAATTTTAATAATCCCTTTTGAGTTAAGTGAACCTTTTCAGGAACGGGAATCTGAGGAACTTTGGCATCACCTAAAGAATCGATAGCTTTTAGCAGATTAAAGTCCAGACTCCGTGATGTTTATGAGCTTACAGACACTCTCTGTCAATCCTGACAAACAAGGTAAGAAAAAAGGGGTCAACTGCAAAGGCATCAGTCTAACCTCATAGCACTTCGAAGCGTGTCTCGGTCACTTTCACCACATCCATGTGGATCTTTTCCATTCCTGTAATGTCCAGAATAAACACGTGAGTTTCTACCTTCACTGATCTCCTCTGAAAGTAGTTTCCAAGGTCAGCTTACCTGACGTCAGCGTTGTTTTGTCCCTCTACGTCTGCTCCTGGAACCATTGGGAATCCACTTCCTTCTTGGTTTCTAAGAGGAGTTGAAAAGCATTCACATTAACCGAATTAACTTTTGCAAGGGATGTAACTCAATTTAAAGATAGAAATTCCCTTTCTTAAGTAACTACAGCTTACCGATTGTAGTATATTTCTTAAATTTAAACAAAAGTGGCGAAACATGCTAAGAATAAGACTTACTTTTGGAGACACTTGAATATCCCACCTCTGAAAGAGATCACAAAGTTTTGTTGATTCCTTAAGGAAATTCACCAATCATTTATTACCACTAGGTTGTAAATATATGAATGAGTGAATTCAGTTAGGGCCCATCTCCTCAATTTTTAACATCGACATTTGGTTTTTATGATCTACAGGTTAAAATGAAAAAAAAAAGAGAAAAAAGTCCAACTCCTGTGCCTACTTGTATTTATTCTAAATGTATTTTATGCAGTGAGATCAACACAGCAGCCATTTGGAAGTAATTTTCCCTTGACATCCAGTACAGATGGCAGCGGCGGTGATTCAAGATGGCAGTTCTCAAGGAGAATTCTAATAGAAGTGAGAATGAATTAAGGCCCGAAAGGAAAAAAAAACTGGGAGCAGCAAGGGGTATTTTTCCTCACTGAAACCTGAGCATGGGCATGAAAATAAAACTTAGATATGAAACGCTTTGATATGTTTTGTAATGTTTTGACTGTTTAGTTAAAAAAAAAAAAGACATGACTTCATAATTTGACCTGAAACTGAAATGCTAATTTCTAATAGAATTTGTAATTTATGGCCTTCAGGAGGCTACTACAAGTGTTACATTTGTAATGCTAAGACAATGGAAATACTTGAAAAAATAAAGATCTTCTTTTGTAAATAAAAACTTACTGAATTTACCGATTTAGATATGCAAAAAAGAAATTGACTCACCCCTTATGTTTTTTCCAGCAGAAGTATGAGATTAGTCCAAAGACAACAAGTAGGACCACCAGAGCTGCAATCCCTATCGGTGACAGAGAAAGTTAAGGGGCAAAATGTTGAACAGATCAAAAGAGGAAACACAAAGTCAGATGTTTTGCTTTCACTCACATGTAAGGTTGCTTTGACCCTGGCTTGGTGGGGGAGGACTCACACTAGGATTGCCTGGTGGAAATTTCTCTTCTTGAGAAGTTTAAGAAGTTGTATGTTTATAATTATTTTCCTATAGTAATAGTCTTTCACAGAACTTTGATGTTAATAAAAAGTATTTCTTTGGATCTCACCAGGGATGGATTTGAAATTCACACACTTTTCTCCGGCAAGTTTTTCGAGGTTTTCCTGTAGAAAAATAAACTTAATTTTGAGAGACCTTAGGATATTTACTCCCCATTCTTAAAAACTATGATTAAAATTAACTTACAGTAAGATGTGTGCATGAAGTCTTAAAATCCTGGCAGTCTTCTGTGATCACTGAATGGTTATCCATTTTCACTACTGGTGGCACAAAGCGAAACACCTGTTCGCGTAGATCAGCAAAACCAAAATTCATCTGTAAAAAACAAAAAAAAACTACTTTCAACTAAGTAACAGAGTAAGTCAGTAAATTTATTCATGTAGCACCTGTCATAAATATTAAAATTACAAACTGCTTCACAATGATTCAAGCCTAAAAAGTCTGCAACCTCAGAGCCACATTTTAACCCCTTAACTGTCATCCTCAAAAACATTACAGGTAAGTCAATGGGCTAATGAGGTCATCATGAGAACTTAAGGGTTAAACTGTATTCCATTATATACAAGGAGCTCAACCGGGTGTAGTTTTCACTTTCTCTTTCAAGAATTGATAAAGATTACAATATTTCTGGCAAAAGTAATATTTAAATCAGAACTATGGACTGAAATGGAGCTGAAAGACACACAGACGCACCTTATCGGTTCCTTCAATTGAAATTTCGCTTCCTTGTGGGCATTCGTGTTCATATCTAAAACCCTCAGCAACACGGATTTCAGAACACATTATGGTTTTTAATAAGCATTCTGTAAGAAACCAAATAAATGGTCAAGAAAAAGCCAGAATAAAAAACAGGAAGTACTCTGGTGACGCAGTAGGAATTGTTACCTTATCAAACAACAAACAAATCAAAACCAGATTATATCTGAAGTAATTTCAACATTTCTGAAGTTCCAACTCTTACCTGATGCCGCATATATCTGTAGGATACGTACGAACAAGATTAGGACAGAGATCATGTTAAACATTCGAAAGGCCATGTCTACTTCTGAACACCCAAACGTTTCATCAGGAAGTGAAAAATTTCTTCCTCGTCTGTTTTCTGTAACCACCTGAAGGGTGGTGTTACTGCCACCTTTAGAAATGATCCATTCTTGGTCAGGAATGACAGCACAGTTTTACACAGATAGCAGATCACCAAGAAGATGAATCCCAGAAAGAACTTAACTGAAAACTTACACTGGTATGTGTAAAGAGAAGTTTTACGCTGCTGATATTTTGACAGCAGGCTTCCTAATCCTCTTGCTGTTTTGCACACCAGACACAAGGGGAGGCCCTTGTCATGTGGGTCAGTGGCATAGAAACAAGGTCAAAGATATAAACCCTGTGGCTGCTTACATACCTTGTTAAGCAGAACGGATTGTATATGCTTGTGTTTTATCAGATAGAAGGACAAACCTAAATCAATAATGATTCAGTTGATGTTGTGTTTGTATTTCTACACCCTTCAGGGAAACATGTGTGGTCAGTAGATATTCCTTCCAAAATTTAGGAATGGTTAACTCTTAGTACTCGTTGAGTCCAGTGTCCATTCTTTTTTTTCCAGAAACACACCCACGAGTACATGTGCTCACAGCAAAGATAGAGGAGAAGTTGCTAAGGTCCAGTACGCTTCACTTAGATTGCATCTTTTCTGGTCCGCTGAGAAAAGACAGAAGACAATCTGTGTAACTCAGTATGGGCTTCTTTCTGTCTCCTTGACAACATGGGCTTCTTCCACTCAGTTCCTCCAGCTTTCTCTTTTACCTTCTTCTAATAATAATGATAACAAGGACATATCAGAAATAGGCTTCCAAATGCTAATGCCAAGTGTCCGTCTTACATGGGCATAAATAATTCAAGTGATGAAGGTCAAAGAAATGTGTTCTCCTTTCTCGATGATTTTATCATCATTCAGCAAGAAAAGGTATAAAAACGATGACCACATTCGAACAGTTGTGCATGTAAGGGGAAACCATTTTGGGTCGATGTAATTTGATTTAAGGGTTAGAGGGTTGGTAAACTTGGTAAATCCCTTAAAGACTGTAAAATATTTCAGCATGAGGTAGAAGATTATTTTCCATCAGCCTTGATTTATACAAAGAAATCAAATGGAACAATTTAAATCAAAGGATGTTCAGATGAGAGAGTGGCCCAGTCAAAGTCCAAACCTAAATCTAATTTAGAGTCGCTAGCAACACTTGAACATTGATATCATTGATTCAATCTGTTTAAAGTTCGAGCAATTTTACAAAGTGGAATGGACAATTATTTTGACAAGAAAAGCTCTAGAATAACTAGAGCTCACGTAGTTATTCTAGAATAATCAGAATTCTAGTTATCTTAGAATAACTAGAATAATCTAGCTACTCTAAAAAGCTATTCTGGCTTTTCTCTAGTTATTCTAGAGAAAAACTCTAGAATAATTAGAGCTTTTCTCAAGATATTTGGGAAAAGCTCTAATTAATTGACCTTTTCTCTGCAAAAATAACTGAGACAAAATACCTGTTACTGCAGTTTTTTTGGATGCACTTATAGCCAAAAAAAAAATAAATAAAAAAAACCCTGAGCTGTGATTGCACCAGAAGGTTAGTCCATTAAGAACTGACCTGTAGGGATGAATCGTAACACACAGCACACTTGTCAGATTTCAGTTTTTAAACACCTTCAAAAACTCGATAGTATTTTACTTTTACTTCACAATTATGCACTACTTTGTGTTGGTCACATAAATCCCTTGTAAGATTCACTAATGTTTTGTTTAGTCTTGCTTACATAAGTAAGTAAGACTTTATATGCGAGTACTTGATGATTTAGCTCAAACATTTTGAAATCGTTTAAAGTCTCACCCCAAAATATGGTGCTTACCACTCATCTAAAATATTGCTTCACCACAAATTAAGACAGCCTAACGCTGATAAAACAAAACCCCAGATCGTAAATAAATGCAACCATGCAGCTCTCAAACCGTCATTTTAGAGTTTAACCAAAAGCATTTGTGATGGAAAAGAGCCGTGCATACTGTTGCACAAACCCGACATTGTTTTTATGTTTGACGTGATGAAATGAGTGAGGAAAAGCAAAGTTTTGCAATGCAATATTTGTCTTGAAATCTGGATATTAAAGCTTCCAGCTTCCTTCTGTGAGAAGTTGTGTAAAGCACTGCACCCCAAGTCTGTGTGTGGATGTGTGCATGATTGTGAATGCAACTGGATGCGTAGTGCAAAGTGCTTTGAATGGTCAGTGAGACTACAAAAGCTCTAAATAAATTAACTTCATTTAGCACTTAGCTTTCAGCGTAAAAACACATTTTCCACTGTGTATCCATACAACTGCTGACCTTTATGTAACAAAATAGCTAAATAGCTTTCATCTCCTTCACTGATACCATTGCTTTACAATATTTGTATATAAAACCAGGGGGGTTAAATAAAACTTGGTAAGTTGGTTCATTTTATAAGTCCTAGGCGATGCATAACTTAATTGTAAAATTAGTAGTTTGCAGGTTGTGAGAGGTTACTGGAAGATTCCCTAAAAACATCTGAAAAAATGTTCCTTGTTGCAGTCTTCTCTTTAGATTAAGGAAACTGTATTACGCTAAAAGTTCCAGAATTGTTCCAGCTTGCACAGTAAAACTAACATTAAATCTGTGTTTCACATTTTCAACCATCTCTCAAAACTTCAAAGTGACAAAACTGGGATTTGGAGTGGTTTTTTTTGGCAGTTGGGGAGATAAAGCTAAATGGCAACGAATGGACGTTTGTCATTCTGCGCACCAGACCAACGGAGCTTAGTGAAATGCAAATCGTGCTGGGATGGCTGCAGAACTCCAGTCTCTCCAGTTGGCTCCTTAGGAAACCTAAAACCCCCGATGTTAACAGTTTGAGATCACAAAAGGACGTCTACCCACTGCCAGCAGAGAAAAGCATGCCAACACCAACACACACTGACATTTTTGTTCATCTGCACCCACAAAACTGAACATGTAAATCACCAAAGTTGGGCCTGTTTTAATTTCACGGGTGCTCGAGTAGAAGCTCTTGTGGACTTATTGTAAATCGAGGAGTTTCTCAGAGTATTATGGCCCTGAACCCATCCGCATTTTCTGCTGTTCACAAATCTTAAAGTTCTTTCGAAACCACAGCTCCCTTATATAGAGCCTGCTTCATCTGAGCGCAGCAACTTGATCCCCCTGTGAATTTCCTATAAAAAGAAAGCTAATAAACAAAAGCGAGTCTCTTCCAAAAGCTAAATATTAAAATTTCTGACAGATGTTTGCAGCCATCTACCTGAGAGAATGTATATGAACGTTCAAACAGAAAGCTTCAGTGAGGCTTCATTAAGCTTTTACGGCTCTGTCACAGCACAGTACAGCTTGATGCACAACAGCTCCAGTTCACATGGTGCTGAGGTGCACATTGTGCAACTTGGATGGCTTTTATTACTATAATCTGTTTTCCAGCTCCATCTCCTGAGAGGGATCTCTGTCAGAAAACAAAGCTCTCCGTTTGAAACATGGCCTCAAATTCAACTTCTGTTTTTATCTGTGTACTTCATCTCTCTTCTGGCTCCTCTCCCAATTTCTCTCCCACTCCACTTTGTCTTCTCTTTGCTCTCTTTTTCCCTGTGTGTTTCTCCTTTCTGCTCTCTTCACTGTTTTCCCTCCTGATGTTCCAAGTCCCAGCACACGGCCGGGTAAAACCAGGTCCAGCGTGTCTTGTTACAGCAACCCTTCCTCTCCGATTAAACCATGCTTTGTGAAGGATAATACCCAAGAAACAATGAGTTTCTTTTTGACAAACTCCCTTGTGTTCTTCCCTGTGCCTCATATGTGGAGCGAATGCTGCATGCTCATACCTATGCGACAGCTCACACAACGCAACCGATTCACACAAACAGCCGCTTTTACAAGCAGTAGCATGTGCTTCGCTGTTGGTGTGCTCCTGAGAAAGTATGCAAGAAATTCAAATCAAATTACCCAACTGGCTGATTTTGTTTATGAGGTTGCTCCTTGCATGCAATGTTCTCTCTGTTTTGCAACAGAGTCCTGAGAAAAGCCTGACGAGCGTCCGGCTGGACGAAGAGTTGCAGTGGAGAATGTAAGGCTTAAGCGCGTCTGTCAGCGTCATGTGTTGTTATGGCAGCCCCGGCGTAGCTGTTCACACTTGAACGCATCATTTTAAATAAACAAAAAAAGTCTTAAAGCTGAGTGATGTGTGGAACAGTCACCTGCAAAACCAACAAAGGGAGAAAGCAGGAAACACAACAGCAGCGTTCAGGCTACTTTTTCTAAGTCCAACCAACAGGTCGGCAGGTGATTTTCACAGCAGCCCTTCTTATGTGTAGCAAGAACACACAGGTGAGTTGGTTAATGTCTTCAACGGAAGCGTACACTTTTGGGTGTCTAGGTTTCAGGACAGGGCCGACAGTTTCATGTAATTCCTAACACCTATCAGGCCCCTGTAAGCAACACTAATTTGCAACAAACTTGAGTCAATTTGTCAGGAACTGTCCCCCCCCCAACTGCTCTGTGTCTAGACAGGTAACCAGGTATGTGGTTCCCTTCTCCCTGCCAGTGCCATCATTCTTCTAGATTTTCAACTGCCATGATCATTACCTGTCAACAAAACCAACGTAAAGGATAATTAAAGGGCAGACACAAAGAGCGAGTTGTTGAGGATTCACTTGTCACGACTACCATCGATCTTTTATAAACAGGGTGCTGACAGAGTTGGTGTCTTACATAACCAAAGCAAAGGGAATATAATTTACTCTAAAGAAACACTAAGAGACAAATAACGCAAGAGACAAGGATGAAAATAGATACTGTTATTTGACAACTTCACTGGGAGGGGGGGATTGTAAATAATGCTGCTAAATACTTCGTATAATTTTGCTAATAAGAAGTAACAGTTTTCTGCTGTGTCCGTTCTCATTGAAGTATTTAAGATTAGCTAAAAGCACACTTACATGCACATTAAATACACATCATGGAATACAAAATGTGCCATATTCCTTTAATTAATGGCTTCATGAGTAAAACAAATGTTTATTTGTGGCATTCTGGCATTTATGGCTGCACACCTCAAGGTTTTCAGAATACAAAATCCTGGTTGCAAGCAAAAATATTATGTGTGGTGGATAAGTCACGCTGCACACCACTCTGAACAAAACGTCCTCACAGTGAAACATGGTGATGGCAGCAGCATGCTGGGGGAATTCTTCACAAGACACAGGGAAGAGTCAGAGTTGGTGGGAAGATGAATGGAGTTAAATACAAAGAAGAAGCTAAAAATGAGACTAAACAGTTAGAGCTGCAGTTCAATGTCAGAAATGGCCCAGTCAAAGTCCAGACTAAGATCCAATTGACAATGTGTGACCAGGTATTAAAACGAATGTTCCTCCATCCAAAGTGATGGAGGGCAATGTTGTAGCTGTAAGGCTACTTTGTGTTATCCTGCAAAATTCAAAGAAAAGACCCTAAAGTTTTTGCTTCCAACGTTACAAATTGAGAAAAAAAAAAGTTCAAAGGGTTTAAACATT